CATATAATCCAAAACAAGGCACAATTGTACCACATGAAATGGAAATCCTAAAGTATACACAGTTGGCAAAAGATAATTCCACAAAGACAGCCAGAACTTAGTAATTTACCAAGAACCTCTGGTTTAAAAATATTTTTCTCTGTCTTAGACAGCTCCACTGTGACCCATCTTTGAAGTAGCCTGGGCCACAGGTCTCCTAATCCAGGGGTCCCCAACCCCAAGGCCACAGACAGGTAACAGTCCATGGCCTGTTAGGAACTGGGCCTCACAGCAGGAGGTAGGTGGCAGGCAAGCAAGCAACGCTTCATCTGTATTTGCAGCCACTCCCCAGCGCTACCATCACTGCCTCAGCTCCACTTCAGATCATCAGGCATTAGATTCTCATAGGAGCACCGGTCCCTGGTGCCAAAAAGGTTGGAGACCGCTGTCCTAACCTACTGTGCACAGGGAGTCTTTGTCACACAATAGACCATGTGTCAGGGTTATTGTGTCGTCCACTGTGGGCAGCCATCACATAGGATATACCAGTGTGTGCTAGACAGAGTCGAAGGAATGCCTCTCCTTCCTCTTCCTCCTCTTCTCCCAACGAAGTCTGACAGCTTCCAGCAAAGCCCGATATCTTGGCTGGCCAGTGTGGCTCCATACAGCTGTCACTGCACTTGATTTTATTAAACAACATTTATTGGATCGGACCAAGCAGAAGAACCACAGCGCTCCAGCCTCTGATCTGATGTATCCATCCTCCCGGAGAGTATGGAGGGCAGGGACTTACAGTATGCACAGCTGTACTCCAACCAGCTGCCCGGGGCCTGGCCCCAAGTACCTGATGAAGGGAGAATGAGAGTGATGGCAGTGGAGACAGGACTGGAGCCACACCAGGCACCACACGCAGTTCCACTCCTGGAGAGTGAGTGCACACTCTGGCCACTCCCTGTCCACTGCTCTCTGAAAGCCAAGGCTAAACAGGGCCCACAGCCCACCAGTCACAGAACTATCCTGATTTCAGGCAATCTACCTTCCAGAACACCCTCTTGAGAACACACAAGACGCAAGTCCATGTTGCACCATGAACTCCTTCATCCTTGAGTGTTAAGGTGAGCGCAGCTTCAGCTGGTATCTCACTGACTCATTTTGAAAGTAAGGAACCCAAGGTTCAGGCATGTTGAATAACTTTTCCTTTGTCCCACAGCTGAATCAACCAATGGCAACTCTAGGGGTTGGGTGAGACGGGTTGAAGCTGGGTCTCCTGACTGCTGATTTGAACCTTTCTCATAAAGTTTCAGTCTCCCAAAGGTTGACCAAATTAGGATGAGATATTTCATAAGACGTCTTTTAAAAACCTAGAAGCTACAGGCAGCCCACAGGTTATACAAAATGTAAGTTCTGTATAGCGATTTACTGATCACTAAGCAAAAGCATAGCAAAACCGGGCGACACGGCTCAATTGTGGAGAAGGTACACTGTGTGACTAGCTCGAAGGGTGGAACGAAAGTTTGATAAGACACAATGAAAACTGAGGGTCCAACTCTGCACCACCTCGGGCACCCCCTCATCTAAACTGTCCTGACAGGGCAGCAGCTTGGAGGTATTCTTGGGACCTCTACCCGCTACCTCCCCACAGGGCCTCCCCGTCCCCTGTCCATCTGCTCAGACTTGGCCTGTAGCCCTGACCCCGCGACCAGGCACTGGGAGCCTGCTAAGCACTGGCCAGCCGGACCTCACTGCGGTATTTACTGCACTGAGCCAGGCACTGGTATTATCCCCATTTACAGATAAACTGAGATGCACTAGTTTGCCCAGAATCACCCATATCGCTAACTGCCAAATGGGGAAAGGCATTAGGAGTTTTGTTTCCTGGCTCATGTTCTCACAGAGCTGTGAATTCTGGGTTTCAGTCTCAAATGTGTCCTTGGGTCACTCTAGGCAGTATGGTAGGGCTACAGGAACATCTGTTTTGGCATCAAGCAGATCCACTGGTTTCTCCTCTGCAGCTTACTTTCTGTTTAGGTTGAGCATATTATTTACACAACAAACTTCAGTTTCTGCACCTATTTAAAACTAAAGAAACAGATGCAAGAGGCCTGGCACATAGGTGCTAAATCTTAAGTATTTTCTCTTTATCAATTCAAAAAGAATTCGAAATTGTACTAGAAAAAAATTATTTTTCGGTGAGGATGAAATAGTCTGTTATTACAGAGAAAAAAAAACAGTTGTGTGGAGAGAATCAAAGCAAGGAGGACTTCTCTTTCTCCAGTCTTCTCCAAATTTACTGCAAGGTTCTCATACATGTTAAGACTGAAACTGCCAAGAGCGATAAGTAATCAATCAAAGGAACCTCCAATGACTGCACTGTGATTATTCCTTATGCATAAGGAAATTATATTTTTCTGAAGAGAAAAACTAAAAATGCCAGTATAGGAAGTCATCGCTTAATATCACTGACACGTTCTGCAACTTTAAACAAAACAATGTATAATGAAACCCATTTTACTATGCCCTAAGTTCTTAGGGCATCTCATCAACGTTATGAACAAGGACCAAATCTGAGTACCTGCTGGACTGTTCGTTTACTTACTGATCCATGCTCACCACCTCAGGTGGAGATTTCCAGTCTGAAAGACAAATGCTCCTCTAAGAATAGTTTTCAAAGCTTAGGGGCATGCAATCACAACCTGATCTTCTTTTCTGCTGTTAATGGAAGCTCCAAGGGAGCAGAGGTTGCCCTGAGGCATAAGGAGGGGGAAGTCCTGGGTGTGGAGAAGTGCAGCCAAAGGATCCTGGTAGCCCAAGCAGATCATAGTCAAGAGGAGCTAAAGGCCACCCACAGGCCAAGAAGTTCTATGAAGCAAAGAAGACATACTTCCTACTCTTCCTCTCCTAAAAGCCACCATTATGATTTACCTTAAATATTTTCTTGCTAAGATAGGAAAATGCATTATTCACAAGATGCACAAATTCTAACAAATTTCCACTTTACTAACGGAAAGTCAATTGCTGCTCTATACCACACTGGAGACAGGAACCAAGAACAAAAGCATCAAGGATCTGATACAAGGCTAATCCAGGAAACCTATACCATCTAAGCAAGTCACAACCAACTAGCTAAACCAAAGCAAACTTCCCCTCATCACCTGACTGCCAAAAATATAACTGACCGGGTGGCTCCATAGTGTAGGGGTTAGCACATCTGCTTTACACGCAAAAGGTCCTGGGTTTGCGCCTCAGGTGGAGCCACGGACCATACCCCGGGTGAGCCAGGCCCAGGGTGATCCAGGTTTCTGGTGCGCCAGGTCCCAGTGAGTGCCACAAACACGTTGGGGGGCAGATGCACTGCCTTCAGAGATCCAGTTCTCAAAGGGAGACGGCAACATCCATAGGTCAAGGGTGGAAATGGGACGAGAGGGGGTGGAATTTAAGGGGTGGGGTGGGAATACATACACACACACACATAACCACTCAAGTTTTATCATCTCAAATACAGGAAGCCATTTACAGATAAGAGTGCATTCACACAAACTCCTCTTCTTGCAGCCAAACTTCAGTCACACTTTGAGAAAGTGGAGCAGTCACTGCTGTTCCTCATTTAACAGGTGAGAACGCCTCTCTGATAGAAAAGCATATTCAAGCGGTCAAGTGAGCAGACCAAGGTCAGAGCAGAGGGCCAGGGTGACAAGGTAGTGAACTCCGACTGGACTCTAGATCCAGGGCATCTGAAGCCACAAACAAACCCTCGAAGGCACCCTAGGAGCTTACACATAATAACTTAGACACACCTATAACTAGGAATGAAAACTATTTTTCACAAAACAAATGAAGCCATAAAAAGAAATTAATATTTTCCTAATGATTCAACTATCATATCCAAAATAAACTTATATGAGGTAAGTTTTACTTTCTGAAATAAATTACTTTACATTTACATCTTTAAATAAAAAATACTTACATCAAAATTCTTTACCAAAAAATGAGTAAATCCATGATTTCAGAGGCTAGCTCTCAGTTGAGAATGAGGCAGAAAAAGCAAGTTTAATGTTACACTTTTGGTACAGATCTACAAAATGTGTTCTCTGTTAGCTTCTGAAATATTTCCTTTTAAAAACTACCAGGACCATCTAAATAAATTTAAATGACCATTTCCCAAGAAGCTGAGGTTTTTCATGCAAAACTCACTGGAAATTGATGTCATATACCTACGAAAGTGCTGCAAACTTGCCCTAAAACAAAAAGGATGTTAAGAGCAGTTCCCTTGTACAATTCAGGAAAAGCAGAATGCTGCAACAGAAACAGATAAAAGCAGAAAACAATGGAGAACCAGCACATCGGGAGCAAAACTGACACGTGGTTTTCTTATTATTTTGGTAGAGACCCTAGTAAAGATGTAATATTCTCAATGTCCTCTGAATACTGTGACAAACACTGTAGACTATTGCTCCTTTATATCAAGGCCACAAATGTTTTCACTACCTACTACTTAGGAGAGATCCTTTCCATGGCACGGAAACTCCAAGGTCCACGTCTTGATGCCTTTAATACTTGAGCCTAGAATACTTGAAGCAGACGGTGATGAGCCCAAGTCAAACCCTGGCATCACTTTTGGCTTCTTATCAATCTTCCCTCAAATGAGTTTCAAAAGCCCGTTCCTTTGTTGTATTTCCACCATCCGACCTCTGGCAAAGAGATCGCAGGTATTTTCTCTTTCCACTTCTAAACTATTGTCTGCTGTGTAAAATAGTCTACCTTATAAATCGAAAATGATCCTTTGAGGGGAAAAAACGACATTCAGGAACCTATTGTATTAGCCCAAAGAAAGGATACTTATGCCTGCCTCTTAGCATAGTTTATATACAGAGACAGCCTTTTTGGAGGAGAAAGGGGCACATCCCCTCCAGAGTGCCACCCCAAGTGAGTACTGGACAGATGTGTGAGCGGGATCGGGAAATGGGGTGGAGGCCAGGAGGCAAGTACAGTGCGACTCTGGAAGTGGCTGGGGTCCCCAGTACCTTTTCCGCGGGGCCCGGAGCTACTGGCGCTGCTGCTCCCCCCTGCGCAGGACGAGTCCTTCCTGAGCCTCTTGCTCTGCGGCCTCACGCTGGACCGAAGGAAGTGGTGCTGGTCCTGGGGGCAGGCGGGCGGCGGGGACGGGGCCTGCGGGAGCGGGGGGTGGCGCCGCCTCGGCCGCCCCGGGGGGTCTTGCCGTCCCTCTTTGTGCCACTGCTGTCCTCGGCCGCGTCCCCGCTGCCGGCACCCTCTCCCTCCAGCGCGTCCTCATCGGCCGCCCTCTTGCCCAGCCTCTTGAGCCCTTCCTCCCCGCCGCCGCCGTCTCCCAACTTCACTGTCATCCTGCGGGAGAGGAGAGGGACCCCGGTGAGGCCGGCGCGGCCCGGAGCCGCCGCGAAGTTTAGCCACCCGCCTCCCTCTCAACATGGCCGCCGTTGTTTGTTCCAGGTCCTCCCGCG